TAAAATTATTTGTGCATCACTTTTGCCCTCACCTGCATATCAAAATAGTGAGCTTTGACTTATGTTTAGGAATGCATTTGCCTCTTTCAGACTACTGCTTCTGAGGTAATCTTAATGTCCACGTCTAAAATTGCCTATGTAATTGAACATGTATTTATTTCCTGGCTGTTTATACATATACATACACACTGCTTCTGATTTTAAGAACTTCTTTTCTCTGAATGAGGGATGTGCTGGTAAATGTTTTATAAGTGGCTCTCCAGGGAAAAAAGGGTCCAAGACACACTTTTAAGTTTAATCTGCATTATTTTTGTTTGTTTTTTGGAGGCAATTGTGGTTAAGTGACTTGCCCAGGGTCACACAGCTAGTGTCTGAGGTCAAATTTGAACTCAGGTCCTCCTGACTCCAGGGCCAGTGTTTAATCTGTATTATTAACATTTTCTCCATCACTTCCTTATATCTAGAAAATCAACAAAATGATCAATCAAGCCTTGATTTGTAGTGTAGCAATTTCCAAGGTACAAGGGGGAGGGAAAAAGAATAAGCATTTATGTATAATGTATAATTACATATAATAATAAATGTGTATAATCGTGCACTCATTGATTTAGAGCTGGAAGGGAGTCAAGTCCAACTCCCGCATTTTATAGATGAGGAAACAACTGATTTCTGAGAGTGACCAGCTCAGGGTCACATAGCCTGTATCTCAGTATCTCAGGCAGAATTTGAATTTAGGTCTTTCAGACTTTAGGTCCACCTCAGGTCATGTGGTGCTGCCTTTTTGACCCAGACTGTAAGAAAGAAGGCAATAAAAAGAAAGGGCGTGAAGGGGAGAAGGTCATGTAAAAGGAAAAACACACATTAGGCATCTCAGAAATGCTAATGTAGGACTGCAAAGAAAAACTGACCTTTTCCTCTTACTGCAACCCTTCTCAGTCACCCCTTAAAACTTGCCCGTTTTCATTTTGCTTCTATTTATTGAAGGTTAGTCACAATGTTGAGGTTTAGGGGTGCTGGGACCCCAATATCACAACATGCGGATCCTGCCCAAAAAATTAGACCCAAGCCTTCTTTCAGACAAAGTCAAGGTTTATTACCTTCATATCGGGCAAGGAGTCTGAATGTTAGTGAGCTATTGGCTAGATTGGCTAGGGCAGTGGCTAGATTGTAAGAATCTGAACACCTTAATGGAGACAAGCTGGATCTTATATACAGAAAAACTGTGGGATGGATTTAGAAGTAGCCAAGTAGTTTGGGATGACTGGAGGAGGGTTCTAAGGAAGATCTGAATGGCAGTGGTCAGTAAACTAGGGTGAAGAGAATGCCTGGAACCTGGACCTCTTGGCTAAGGGAAAATGAAGCCTAGTTAGGATCAAGGGTGGGAAATGGCCGGGGGCCATAGGGAGGTAAAACAATGGAGGGCTAGGCTAGGTTAAGGGTAACAGAATTGGAAGATTGGGTGTAGCCGAAATGAAAGGCCAGTTAATGGGATTATATCCTCAGGCAAATGCCAGAGATTTGGCCATGTGGGAAAGTGCAGGGTTTTTCCTTTTTGGGGTTTAGCTCCCATCCTCATCAACAAGGCTCTCTTGATGCTAATGAATGTGTACATAGGCCACACAAAATGAGTAAAAATGGTGTATCCTGGAGGCAGCTAGGTGGCACAGTGGATAGAGCACTGGCCCTGATCCATGAGGACCTCAGTTCAAATCCAGCCTCAGACACATAACACTTACTAGCTGTGTGACTCTAGGCTAGTCACTTAACCCCATTGCCTAGCCCAAAAAAACCCCCAATAAAACAAAACAAAAAGTGGTGCATCTTTTATAATGTACACAAAACACCCTGAAAATTCTGTAACCAGGAAGCTTTTACAGGAGCATGGGCTCTGTTATTTCAATAAATAATGATCAGGTGGCATTGAAATACCTGTGCTGAGAAAGATGTTATCCAATCTGCTCCAAGACGTATTTATTTACGCATCTGTTGGGTGCAAGGCACTATAACAAGTTCTGGGAAAACAAAGAAAAAAGGAAGAAAAATTCCACATCTCCAAGGATTCTACCTGGAGGATGCATTAACTCAGTTAAGTAAATACAAGATGATGGGTTGGAGAGAGCAAGGTTGGGGTGGAAATCAGGAAATGCTTCCCATAAGTAAGTACAAGGTAATGGGGATGGAGAGAGCAGCTGTGGGGGGTAGGGAGAGAATTAGGAAAGGCTTCCCATAAGAGGGAGCACCTGATTTGAGCTTTGAAGGAAGCTAGGAATAATAAGAGGTAGAAGTGAGAAGACAGTGCATTTCAGTGAGATGGAGAGGAAATCAGTCTATGTCATAGTTTGGGCACAGGTCAGGGAACACTGAGTTTGGGGAGCTAGGATGTAGATGGCATGAAAAATCCAACGTTAGCCTTATTAAAGTCAACCCTCAACAACCCTACCTAGTAGAGCCATGAGAATCTGAGACAGCTGATAATCACAAAATCACCTGAACATAATGTTAAAAATAAACAACTCATTTATATAGTATTTTAAGGTTTCAAGGGCACTTTCTTCATAAGAGTCCTGTGTGGCAGGTTGTACACATTTTATATCCATATTGAATAGGAAGAAATTTACTATGACAGACTAAATGAGCCTGGCCTTCAAACTTGGGCTAACTTCCTTTTGAGGGATGGTCTGATCAAAGGGATCAGAGTATACTGAAACAACTTCAAGTTCTTTTCTATCGCCGTATTAAAATCTTATACCAAAAAAGCAACAAAATGGATTTTTAAACCTTGAGTTTTCCATTATCTATGAAGATTTCCCATGTACTTATGGTGCTTTTGACTTAATACCAAATCGTACAACCTGAAAAAGAACATGAGTGACCTCAACTAAAGGCCTTTAGGGATACACACAGAACTTCTTCGATGCCTAATCTTTTAATTTCTTCTGTTCTGTGAAGTGTCTTTTAGAAAGTGGTTTATTTGAAAAAAGACTGGATAAAAGAATATTTTTCTGGTTTTTGTCAATCAAGTAGTGGAGCCAGGGACTGACGGGAAAATGTTTCCTAATTTCTAGAGGATGATCCCCTAGAAGTCAAGAAAACTTCTGTCAACAGCAAAAAAGTTATTACTTATATTATTATTATTTGAAATTTACGTGGGAGTTCAGAATTTTGCAGATGGAAGAAAATTGGGATTCCTGAACAAAGATATGCATGATATGCAAAATGACAGAGCACACTAAAGCTTCTACAGGATACTGATACTTAAAATGTTATTGCTGAATTGGGAAGTTATTGTTAACTATGAGTTCCTTTGGCCACAGATGTTTACTGAACTACAAAGATCTCATAAATCCTTAAGAGGAACTAACTGTTATTCATCTAACTCCTGGGCTATTCCCCTGTTCCTTATTGGAAGCTTGGAGTCAGGAAGACCTGAGTTCAAATTCGGCCTCATACCAGCTGTGTGACCCTGGGCAAGTCATTTAACCCTGTTTGCCTCAGTTCCTCATCTGTAAAATGAGCTGGGGAAGGAAATGGCAAACCACTCCAAGAAAAGCCCAAATGAAATGACTGAACAACAGTCATGAGGGGCATTTCAATGAATAGCCAAAAAAGTTAGACTTCAGGAATATCGTGGGCATGATTCTTGTCCCCCATTAAGGCTGCATTAAAAGGCAGTATGTGTTGGGAATAGAGGGGAGGAAACTTCAAATGAGTTCTGGATACATGCATACAGGGATAGGGCTCAGACCCGTGATTTCACTGGTATATGAGAAATTGAGCAAACTTCTATTAATGTAGATCTCACCTTCTCTGCAACAGATGGGCTCAGGGGGAATTGGCCTAGAGCACTGACAAGTTAAGTGATTGGCCCAAAGTCACACAACCAGTATCTGTCAGGGATTTGTAACCAGGTCTTCCTGGCTTCAAGAGCTCTGCATTACCACAAAATGCCTCTCAAATGTTTATAACCCAAGCTATATGCTGAATCGAAATCCTAAGGCCAGGGGTGTGTGAGAAGCAGACCTCTCCCTAGGATGAAAGGTTCTGGGGATCTCTCTCTCAAGTCACTTCAATTCAACAAGCATTTTTCTAGTGCCTATGCAAGTCAATCATCACCCTGCCTTAAAGGAGCTTACATTATACAGGGGGTGAGGGCAGTTATTTATGGTTTATCAATCAACTAATCAATGAATATTTATTAAATGCCTATTAGGTGTCTGGTGATGTGCTAAGCACAGAGAATTCAGAAAGAGACAGAAGATAGTCTCTGCCCTCAAGGAGTTTACATTCTGATGGGTGAGGTTTATCAACCAATTATAAAGCGTCAGGCACAGGGCTAAACGCTGGGGATTTAAAAAAAAAAAGGCAAAAAGCCGTCAGGCCTTCATGGAGCTTACAATCTAATGGAGGAAACCATGCAAACGGACGTTTACAAATCAAGCCGGACAGATACTAGATAAATAGGAAATAATCAATAGAGTGATGGCACTGTAATTAGGAAGGGTTGGGGAAGGCGTCCTGTAAAAGATGGGAATTTATTTATTTGCGAAATGTCAGTGGTCAGAGTGGGACCACCAGAGGGAACGCCCCGAGCGGGAGATGGAATATATTGTGAGTGGAACGGCCGGAGGCCAGTGTCTCTGGATCCAGGAGTAAAGGTCAGGGAAAGGCGGGAGGAGTAGGAAGGGTATTAAGCAGATGGCTTTGCACACTCTAATAAGCCACACAAATGTCAATCATCAGGCCGAGCCGCCTCTTGCCTGACTGATGCCAGGCCTGGGTAGTGGGAGGCCGTGGGAGATTAGGGGGAGAGGGCTGCAAGCACCACTCGTTGCAGGGGGTTCTACCTCCCTGGGCGACCCCCGCACGCACGCCCCGGCCAGGGGGCCCAACTCAGGGTCTCTCGGGAGCGGAAACTCCTTTTGTTTTGCAGCAGGAAGAGGAGTTGCCTAAATTTAAAGTGAAAAAGGCGCCAAGGAGGGGCTTTTCTCCCGCTCTCCTCTCCCCGCGCTGCAGCCATGCCCGCCGCAGGCTCCGAGCTGCAAAGCCGGCTGGGCCCGGAGCCCAGGGCCAAGCCCCAGGATGCTGCCGCCGCCGCCAGCCCGGGCTGCGACCCCCGCCCCAGCCCGCCGCCCGGACCGCACGGGGAGAAGCAGTACCTGGGGCAGATCGAGCACATCCTGCAGCGCGGCTGCAAGAAGGAGGACCGCACGGGCACCGGCACCATGTCCGTGTTCGGCCTGCAGGCCCGCTACAACCTCCGAGGTGGGCGCCGGGGCGGTGGGCACGGTGGGAGGGGGCGGGGGGCGGCTCAGGAGGCGGGCCACGAGCCGGGGAAGGGCCCGGCGCCCACGTGGGCCGGCCCCTTCATTTAGGGGAGAGGCTTGGGGGGGGGGGGACAGCCCCGGCTTAGGAACCTCGCTCTTGCCTTT